AAGGGGAAAAGCATCCATCCTGGTGCAGAGGAGAGAGGTGCCCCCAAACCCTGAAGGGAGAAGCAGCCGCCTTGGTGCAGAGAAGGGGAAAAGCATCCATCCTGGTGCAGAGGAGAGAGGTGCTGCAAAAGAGGAGAGAGGTGGTGCAGAGGAGAGAGGTGGTGCAGAGGAGAGAGGTCCATCCTCCTCAAAATTTTATCCCTGCCCACGATGAAGATGGGGGAAGGAGGGGCTGCAACATCACCATGGCAACCCCCTCCTTCCGACCTCGGGAGGCGCTGCTTCCGATTTGGGGGGGGGCGGGTGGTGGGCTATGGGAAAGGCTCGAAATCACCTCTTAGCTCTAGCCTAACCCTAGCGCTCCAAGGAGGTGCCTGCCTGTCGAGCAGGGCCGGTGTGAAGCAGCCTGGTGCAGTTAAGGAGACAATGGGAGAAGCAGCCGCCTGGTGCAGAGAAGGGGAGAACTCCCAAACCCTGAAGGGGAGAAGCTGCTAAGGGGTGGAGTTGGGAAGCTGCCAATGGATTTGGGAAGCTGCCAATGGATTTGGGAAGCTGCCAAAGGATTTGGGAAGCTGCCAAAGGATTTGGGAAGCTGCCAAAGGATTTGGGAAGCTGCCAAGGGTTGAAGGAATTGGGAAGCTGCTAAGGGGTGGAGGAGTTGGGAAGCTGCAGCAACAGCGACGTGCATCAAGAGCGACCATGGAGTTTTTTAGCCGAGCGTACGGCACGCCCCTCGTCTTTTGAGGAAGTCAGCCCAAGGGGATGTGGCGGGATGGATTTTTTGATCCATGACTCGCGCACGCGCTGAACCAAAAAAAAAAAATCTTGGGAGATTGAGTGAGTGCAGTGGAGATGTAGCCGCTTGGTCTAGAGAAGGAGAAAGGAACCCCCAAACTTGAAGCAGCAGTGAAGGGGAAGCAGCAGTGAAGGGGAAGCAGCAGTGAAGGGGAAGCAGCAGTGAAGGGGAAGCAGCAGTGAAGGGGAAGCAGCAGTTAGGGGAAGCAGCAGTGAAGGGGAAGCAGCAGTGAAGGGGAAGCAGCAGTGAAGGGGAAGCAGCATGAAGGAGAAGCAGCAGTTAAGGGGAAGTAGCAGTGAAGGAAAGCAGCAGTTAAGGGGAAGTAGCAGTGAAGGAAAGCAGCAGTGAAGGGGTGATGCAGTGATGCAGTGAACCAGTGATGCAGTGAAACGGAGCAGACATGTACCCAGTTACCAAGCTACCAATAGCAGTTACCAGCCATAGAATCTGAGCTTTCTATTCTCCTTGCACGTTGTACTAGGTTCATTAGTGCATTACTCACGCAGAGCCCTCTATCGTATGTTATGGAAACATTTAACTACAAACAATTTACCCTGGTTGGCTTCGTCTACTAACGCTGCATTTGTTTATATGGGGAATGAACTGGTAGCAGGGTGTGTGAGCTGAGCACACTACAATAGCAGGGTGTGTGAGCATAGCACGTTGGGAATCCTCACATTCCTTGGGACGGCAGTTCAAAGTGGCAAACGCTAGGTAGGGTAGCTTCTTCCAGCCTACAGAAAGGGGCTGGTTGGCAGGGTCCAATAACGCTGCATTTGTTTATATGGGGAATGTATGGTATTAGCAGGGTAGGGTACAAAAAGGTGCCACAATTCAGAGTGACACTGGTGCCGTACGAGCCAAAAGGACTGGCAAGCAATCTTCTCCAGACTGCTCTGCAACTGCACAGAACTCGCGTTGGTGACATGTAACCAGGTTCAAATGACATGTAACCAGTTACATGCAACTAGCTTTCCCGACACGTAGCAGCACGGTTCAGATGACATGCAGCTGTGCGAGGAAGAGCATGTGAGAGCCGTCCACGTGCTGCACGCCCAGAAGATACTTCTCATCCCGCACCTTGAACAGCTGTGCGGTGCAGTGCGGTAAGGGGAATGGATGGAGTTCAAGAGCAATCATTACGATACGACTCAGGTAGTGACTTCAGGAGCAATGAACCCCACACCCAACAAGTTCTGAGAATTCTCAGTCTCACAACCTCCAGGACAAATCCAGCAACAGAGCAGCGGGAGCCATTTGCGTTGCGGTATGCATGATAAAAAGGCATAGAAAGGGAACGAGGGGGAGGTGGAGTGCACAAGCAAGGGCGATGAGGGCCGTTGCTCAAGGTAAGTTCGATCGAAGAGCAGCAGTGAGAGAGACTGGGACACACACGCTCACCTGCATCTCAAACCGCAGCCGAACCCCGCCGCCCACCAGCGCCTCCACAGGAATCACCGGGCGGCCTCTCTCGTCCTGTATCGTCCTTACACACCATCCAACCGCCCCCCATCCACCAGCATCCCATCCGCATCCCCCCTGCCCCACCATACCCACCCCCACGCCCATGCCCGTGCACCCAAGAGGCTGTGCTAGAGGCAGCACGAGAGGCGGAGGAGGAGGAGTTGGGGGGGAAGGGGAGGGGTCCGTCCCAGCGGCAGTTGACGACGTAGGGAGAGAGCTTCTTCCCCCGCACCTGCAGCGCTTGCAGTGCGCGGAATGCCTCCCCCCTCACTTCCATTGGGTGCGCGCGGGACTGGTGGGGAGGGAAGGGAGGAGCAAGGGAGGAGCAAGGGAGGAGCAAGGGAGGAGCAAGGGAGGAGGAGGGAGATGGAAGTGGAAAGGATTGATGGGTGAGGTAGGAGGGGGGTGGGAGAGGGAGAGGGAAGGGCGGTCACCTGCAGCGTTATGCAGCTCCTCGTTTTCACACCCACACTCATTGATACACACTTACAGCAACCCTTTGATGACTCTGCGCGGCCGACCCCGGCACCCCCATCCCCAGCCCACCTACCTGGTCCACCCCCATCCCAACCCACCTACCTGTTCCACTCCCACATTCACTCCCTCACCTGCAACCCCAGCGCCCATTTCCGATCTGCCACAACGTGCTGATGATATTGCGCGGTCGACCCCGGCACCCCCATCCCCAACCCCCCGCTCCCGCCACCCCCCCCACTCCCAACACTCCGCCTCGCCACCAGCGCATGCCCCAGCCCTCCCCTCGCGGCTACCAGCGGGGACCCATCGGCTGCAAGCGCGTGCGTGGCGTGCTGGTCGTGCTGCCCCTCCTTGTGCTCCTTGAACTGGGCGCCCAGATAGCCCATGGAGATGCGGCGGTGCGAGTCCAGCAGCCGGTACGAGGCCACTGTCGCCGTGTTCGTGCGGCGCTCCCGCAGGGACTCCGCCAGGTGCTCCTGGTCGAACCCCATCTTCGTCACCACCTGAAAGATCTCCTCGTCAATCTGACGGTGGTGGAGAAGGGAAGGATGGAATTATGAGAAGAGAGAATGAGGAGAGGAGCGATAATCGTCAGCACCACCTCGGTCACCAGCAAGAACACCTTCTCAATTTTCTAGTGTGATTGGGAGGGGAGGGGAAGGGGGGTGGGGAAGGGAGGATGCGAAGAGGTGCGACTCCGCAATGCAGTCCTCATCAAACCACAACTTCGCCACTATCTGAGCCCTATCAGGAATATCAGCAATATCTCCTCGTAAATCTGATTCCTGAAACCCTCAACTTCTCTGCATGCTCATCCATCCTGCCTCTCACCCGTTTGGCCTGCTCGGCAGCATTTGGCGGCGGCACGGCGAGGTAGCGGGGGAGCTTGGCGAGGAGCCAGGGGTGGTGGCGGATCTCGGGGATGGTGATGCGCTTCATGGGGTCGACCAGCAGCATGCGCGGTATCACAGGTGGTGGGGCAGGGCGTACATGCCACCCTGCATGCAATAAGAGAGGGTAGTTCACAGGGGGTTGTGAAATGGGGCCAGTTCACAGGGGGCTGTGAATTACGCTACACCGCCCGCTCATATGCTGCACCGCCCGCTCATACGCTGCACCGCCCGCTCATACGCTGCACCGCCCGCTCATACGCTGCACCGCCCGCTCATACGCTGCACTGCACGCTCATACACTGCACCGTATCCCACCATTACCCCACAGCACCGCAGCCCACCGCACCTTGATTTTATTAAAGAGGTTGGGGATGTTTTCATCGTCGAATGGAAGGCTGCCACACAGCAGCGCGTACAAAAATCAACCGAACCATCACCCACCATCACCGCACAGCACCGCACCTTGATCTACTTAAAGAGGTTGGGGATGTTTTCATCGTCGAATGGAAGGCTGCCACACAGCAGCACGTACAGAATCAACCCGCAGCTCCACACGTCCACCTCGGGACCTCCGTACAGGGGAAAGGGGAGGGATGGGGAAAGGGGGAGGGATGCGTGTACAGGAGTCAATCCGGCAAGTGATTGATACCAGCTCCACACGTCCACCTAACGGGCTACAGAGGTGAGTCGAGCATTTAGAGTTCCAAACCAGCTCCATGCGTCCACCTCGGGACCTCCGTACAGCCACCAACCCTGATATCAGCTGAGGGAAATCAGGGAAAGGCGGGCAAAGCGGGAGAATGATTTCCAAGTGATTGAAATCAGGCCCACACACACGTCCACCTCGGGACCTCCTTACAGCTGCCCAGGTATCATCTGAAAGGGGTTGGGCAGGCGGGATGGCAGAAGGCAGAGGGCAGAGGAGGAGAGGAGGGAAGATGAGTTCATGACAGAGCCAGTGATGAAAGATTCAGTGAGCGAAAGTCAACAAGCTTCAAACTGACAAGCTACCTGGGACTTAAAAGTTCCTCTACAGAGCAACAGCAGCTTAGGAACCCATGCATTTGCCCCATTCATACCTCCGGAGCAGCGTAATTGGCGCTGCCACAGGACGTCTTGAGGAACCGTCACGCATGACGTTGCTGAGCCCAAAGTCAGCAATGCTTACATCAACCGATTCACACTGAAAGCCCCCACACGTACCTCAGGAGCAGCGTAGTTGGGGCTACCGCAGGCCGTCGCGCATCACATTGCAGGCCGTCGCGCATCACATTGCTGAGCCCAAAGTAGGCGATCTTGGCGTCCAGCAGCAGGTTCTCGGGGCAGCGTGCCGTCCGCACAGCGCTCCCTCAGGGCGTCCTCGCTGCCACCTGGCTCCTGCTGATTGGCCTCCAGCATAGCGCGCATGTCTGCCACACTCAGGTGTGCGCGCAGCTTGTCCTTCACAGAGGGGGGAAGACACAGAGGGGGAGTGAGTCGTATTGTTGAGGTGCGTGAGATGTAGAGGCACTGCAGCACATTCACGCCCCGCACGTCGGCCGCAGTGGCAGGGGGGAGGGGGAGCGCAGTGGATAGGCGGCGATGGAATGGGGGGAGAAGCGGGCATTGGCTATGGAGTGAGCGGAAAAAGGTGGGGGCTGGGATGTGGCAGTGTTAGAGGGGTAAGCGCGGACGGCGCACAAAGAGAGGCGGCAAAGAGGGATGGGCGCAGGCGAGCAGGGGAGCTGGGGGGCAGCAGAGCAGGGGTGGCATGGGTGGCAGCGGTGGCAGCGGCGGCAGGGGAGCAGAGGGGCACTGACTTGGTGATGAGTCCCGGGGCTTTGAAGATGCAGCTCGCGTGGAACCACAGCTGCTCCGCGCACATGGTGGCGGGGCGGGGGGAGTGGGGGTGGGGGATAGGCGGAACGGGAGGGGGATGGATGGAGGGAGCGGGCGAAATTCGCAGGGAGGGGGATGAGAGCAGCGTAGAAACTTGGGGAGAGGGAGCGGAATGAGGTGAAGAGAGGGGAGTGGAAATGGAGGGAGATGCAGTTGTACAGGGGATTGCGGAGGGCGCGCGCATGACTGCACTGCAATGCCTTCAACCTCAAGACCCTAAAACGCTATAGCCTGCGAAGCCATGCGACATGAACCCGTCATCGCCGTGGATTCGCCAAGCCATCACCTTCGTTACTTGCTCAGCCAGTACCAAGCCACTAGTACCGTCGTTATTTCCGCAAGGCATTACCCTCGTGTAATCCGTGTGAAGCCACTATGAGCGCATTACCGTCATGAAGCCGTCGAACTGTTTGGACTCGACGACTTTGGCGATGCGGAAGGCGTCCTTGGCGATGCTCTCTTTGCACTTCCGGCAGCTCGCGCGCGCCGACTTGGCGTACTCCGCCTTGAACGGCTTCGGCTTGGCGCGCTCTGCCTCGTCCGCCATGGCGATGGCGTGTCAAGTACGCAAAAGGATGATGGTCTGTGTGCTTTTGACTGAAATGGCGCGAAAAATATGGTAGGGTGGAAATTATAACTGAACAGTTGTTGGCGGCATTGGAGACCCAGAATTTGCCGTACGCAGTATTGACTGTCGCACTCTCTCCAAATAATTCGCCGAACCCAGAGTGTGCTGCCTGGAGTAGCTAGCGAAAGTGCTGCTGTCATAGCTTGCATTGCTCTGCATAAGATTCTATGTGCATTACATGTGAATAATTTAGTATGATATTGCCACTGGTTGATTGAGAATTTGCTTTGTATATGCACACAGATCTCTTACGAGAAAACAGTTTCTAACAAAGCCCGCAGATCTTTCGTTTGACTAGAAACCAGAGCATCATCCATTGCACCCCAATCAGCGCTAAGAATATTTTGAGCTTGTTCCAACGCTGCCTCTCTATCAACATCCTCTGTTTCATCCCCGCCTTCTGTTCCCATTAGAAGCACCAAGTACAGTTGCTCTGCACAGTGCCTTCGAACCTGTTGCGAGTGCAAGGGTGGATGTGAAATGGAAGGGTCTTGATCTTTTACACATGTAACACAACCCATCGAACGGGTTTGCTGTGACACTGGACAGGTAAGGCGGAGCTACACAGTGGCGCGCAATGGCGGTGCTAGGTGCTATGCCAATACGAGTAGTGGGTGCGATGCTGCCAGAGCAGGCACAATCGCAGTGGGGACTGGCAGGTACACTCACAGTGGGGACTATGAGGTGAACTCACAGTGGGGAAGCGCACGGCGAGCAGCCAGAGTAGCGTGGAGAGGGCATGCTGGCGGGCAGAGCAGAGGGGGGCGGCGAGGTGGCAGAGCAGGTCGACGGCCGCCAGCATCTTGGGCACCGATGCCGTGGGCTGTGGGCGGCACAGCTCCTCCTCCACACTCCCCACCAACACCCCAGGTAGAGCCGCGAGGGAGGTGGTGGGAGTGGCAGGCTGCAAGGGGGGTGGGAGAGGGCAGGGCGTGGGAGGGCAGGGCGTGGGAGGGCAGGGAACGCCATGCAGAACGGTAGAGTGGAGACGGCTGGCATGCAGAAAGGGATTGCTGGAGTGTGGATGTGAAGCAAGGGATGTGAAGCAAGGGATGTGAAGCAAGGGATGTGAAGCAAGGGATGTGAAGCAAGGGATGTGATGGATGGAGAGCGGAGGGAGCAGGTGTTGATGCGGCAGGTGCAGTGCAGTGCAGGGCTTCACTGACCTCATCTGAAGCTGGGGTGTCTGCTGATAACGACCCAAAGAAATCCGCCTGAAGTAGAGCAGCGATGGCCTGCAGTGGGGGAAGGTGGGAAGCAGTAGAAGCACGCACGCAGCGAGAGCAGAGGGGAGATGAGAGTGGCAGAGCGGGTGCAAGCAAGCATCAACAAGGACCCACACACAAGCATGCATGGCGGCAATGCGTCACAGCGCTTGGCTTCGCTGCACCCTCCCACACGGCAGGTCACACAACCGCAAGCCGCTGGCCATGCTGCTGACATTCAGGTGGCTCCCACTCAACTGCAGCGGTATACCTTGATGTACGGGATTATGACTCGATTCTGCTTGCGGTGCCGCCTCAGCAGCACCACCACGTCCTCTGCTATCCGCCCCTGCACCTCCTCCCACTGCCCACCATCTCCCCCCTCTCCTGTCCCCCTCATAGCCCCCTGTGTCCCCTCAGCTGGTTTGAGAGAGAGCAGGGCGCGCAGGGAGGCGGCAGTGAGGGAGTGAGAGAGAGCACCCGCGGAGAGCAGCAGCCCCGAGAGCAGTGGCAGGCGGTAGGCTGGCAGCAGCAGCAGCGGGGCCAGACGGGGAAAGACAGCCGCAGGATTCTGGCAGGGTGGGGAGGGAAGGGGGAGGCGGGGGAGGGAGGGGAAATGACGGAGGTGAAGGCGAGCGGAGCAGGTGGGTGGGAATGAGAAGGACTGGAACAACAAGGGAGCTGAGAGAGTGGAATAGGGAAGGGCACAGCACAGCACTGCAAAGCAGAGAACAGTGGGAGGCGCACCTTCCATGCGAAGTGAGGGTCGGAGGGCACGTGCTGCCTCAGCTGCTCCCACCCATCCACATCCCTGCACACACCGCTCCCTTCTGCCGTGCCGCCCACGCATTGACTCACTGCGCCTCCTCCATCCGTCTCCTCCCCGCCTCCACCTGATGCCCCCTGCGTGCTGCCACCAGCACCACGTGCCTCAACTGCCTCTGCAGTCCCTGCTTCCCCTCTTGTCTCTTGTGTCCCTGCCATCGCTGCACCGTGCTTGCTCCCCCACAGCAGCCGCTGCAGCCCCTGCCCCGCCACCTTGCGGGTGCCGTCAATCTTCTCCCCCGCCTGCTTCAGCAGCACGCCCACCACCCGCCCTGCCACCGCTCTGCACCATTCCCCAACCCCAATGTGCCGCCGCTGAGACGATGGGGCGTCAGGTGCTGCGTCAGTGTTACTTGGTGCATTTCCCACCTCGCCCTCCCACACCTCTCTCAATCTGTACACTTCTTCCACCCACGCCACCAGCGCTTTCATGGAAGCTTCCCTCACGAGGCGGCCCACGTCACCCCGCTGGTCCTCCGTGTAGTCCTGTGCAGCTCGCAGCAACGCCGCCACCACGCCCTCCCCCCCCCCCTCCCACCACCCTCGCCCTACCAACCCACCCTGCCTGCTCACCTCAACCTCCTCCTTCTCGCCCTCCCCTTCCGCTTCTGCCCCATCTCCCCCACCCGTCCCTGTGTGCCCCCTTGCGCCTGCCCCGCCGGCCTGCAGGAGGGGAATGATGCTGGCTGCATTACCCAGCGCTTCCACTGCTGCTGCGCGCACTGCCACGTCAGTCACAGCACGACGCCCCCGCTGCAGGGATGACAGGGAGGATAAGGGGTGGGAGGTTGTTGCAGCGTGGGTGACGGATGGGTGGTTGGAGGAAATGACAAGGGATTGGAGATCCGATCCTAAGGGTGTCTGGACACACGAAATGAAAGGATGAGGCAGCAATGTTAGGGAAGTCAGAGGATAAGAAAGGCAGGATGGAGGGAATGGGGATGGGTGGAGGGGAAGAGGCAGAGAGCACTCACATTGTCGGTGGCAGCAGCACACAGCGCCTTCACCACCCGCTCTGCCAGCTCGCGCCTTGACCTCTCACCCTCATCCACCCCTCCCTCACCCCCTCTCCCCTCCGTCTCCCCATGTCTTTCTCCGTCCTCTAGCCCTGTGTTTGCGCCCCCCACACCTAGCCCCACGTTGTCAGTGCCAGCAGCAGGGGAGTCAAGGGGAGAGGCGGAGGGCCAGGCGGGGCAGAGGCTGGGCAGGAAGCACTGCAGCGCCAGCACAGCGCCTCGCCTCGCACTCGCTGCTGAGCTGGCGGACTCCAGAGTCGCCACGTGGCGCGTTATTATTTGGCGAGCAAAGTCTGTGCAAGCAGGGGAATGCTGGGTGCGAGCGAGGTCCCACAGGGCTGCTGCTGCTGCCTCCTGGATTGACGAGACAAAGCGCGCCCGCGCACACTGGGGAAAAGGGGGAAAAGAGTGGGGAAAAAGATGCGGGGTGGGGGAAGGAGAGGAAAAGGAGGGTGATGAAGCATGAGCATTGAGTTAATGCAGTACGATGTATGCATTGACACGGTGTAATCACCATGCTTAGTGCGTGCTCATTCAACTCCTTCCCTCTCCCCCCTCCCTTCCCCATCCCCTCCCTCACCTGCAGCTCCCCCCCATCCCCTGCCAGCATGTCATGCAGGCAAGCAGTAGCCACAGTGAGAGCAGGTGTGGGCAGGGGCGGCAGTTGTGCGCGGGGCAGTGCAGCAGCGAGCGCGGAGAGCAGGCGGCAGCAGGCCACCTTGAGATCCGCAGCTAGGCGCCCTCGGAAGGAGCGCGGGGCGAGCAGCGTGGGGAGGGAGGCGGTGAGTGAGGAGAGGGTGTCTGAGAGGGCCGGGGAGGGCGGGGAGGCGGAGAGGGGCGGGAGGAGGGCTGCGGTGGCGAGGAGAGCCCCATGGCGGGAGGGGGGGTCGGGGGAGGCGAGCAGGGGGAGGAGGTGTAGGTGCAAGAGGGAGAGGAGGCGGGGCGGGTCAAGAGGGACAATGGCGGCGAGGGATTCAGCTGCGAGGGCGCGGATGGCCTTGTCCCAGTGGTGCGTGCTGGCTGCTAGCTTGAGCAACAGCTGCTCGCGGTACTCCGGATAGCCTGCCACGAATAGTGCCACCTGGAAGCAGGGGGGACAGCAGGAGGAGAGGCAGGAGGAGATATGGGAGGCGAGGAGAAATGATGGTAACGGGGGCACGTGTGTGGTGCATGTGCATGTGCTAAAGGGCAAAGGCAGATGAGGACAAAGAAGGCTTCTCAGACTGACAGATGCGGCTGTGGTGGGCACCTGAGTGAATGCAGTGCGAGTGGATGACAGCGACGTGACGTCAGCCGCATTCACTATGGCGATGCCCCCTGCTGGCACCCACTGCTCCTCCTTCTCCGCACCACTCTCCACCGCATCACCTCCTTGGCTAGGTCCTCTGGTGGAGGCATGGGGTGTGCCTCGGGTGGTGGGTGTGGAGAGCGCTTGGGCGTCGGAGATGCAGCCAAAGCGGCCCACCACCTCCTGGAAGGCCGCTGCTGCCGCCCACCTGCACTTCATCTGCCCATGTTGCATGGGACATGGGGTGTGAGGAATGGAGCACACGGCATGGGGCATAGTGCATGGGGCATAGTGCATGGGGCACGGGGCATGTGGCAATGGCATGGGGCATGGGGTATGGCGCATGGCGCATGGGGCATGGTGCATGGGGGATGGGGCATGCGGCATGGGGCATGGTGGTCACAGCAGCCCACCTGGCGGTCACAGCAGGCAACGGCGAGGAGGTGAGGGCATAGCTGCTGCAGGGAGGCAGCAGCAACGGGCGGTGAGAAGGAGTGGGCGATGGCCCAACACACATACGCCGCTGCATCGCGCACATGCGCCCCCGTGCCCACCGCCCCCCGCAACACCTCGTAGTGCAACGCCTGGGGGAGAGGGAAGGGGGGGGAGAGGAGAGAGGAAAGAGAAGAGGGGGAGCAAGCGTGAGGGGTGGGCGATATGACATGGCACGAAAATTTGAAGTGTGAGTGCTGTGTGGTGTAAAAGGGCTTGAGTGCATGAGGGGCAGAGAGGGTATGGACTGCGGATGGCACAATCATGTGGTGGGGTTTGGAGCATAGAGAGAGATCATTTGTGTGTGACGTGAGTGAATGAGTGTTGAGGTCAAGTACGTCTACTGAGCGATTAAGGGCAGTGGGGGACGAGACACACGGAGGCGAGGAGCGGCGTGACGGAGTGCAGGCGCGACGGCAGCAGCAGCCCTCTGGCTGCCAGCTCTGCGAGTGCCAGACACACGCCCTGCCATGCACTGTCCGATGGTAGCTGAGGAGGGCAAGGGGGAAAGAGGGAAAAGTAGACGGAGGGATGGATGGTGGGATGGTGAGGATGAGATTGATGGGAGTCGCAATGTGGCCATTGAGGGCAGAACAGGTCGGAAAAGATCCAAGCTGAAGCGATCGGAGGAGACGAGCAGGGGACGCGAGCACGAACGCATGGGCATTGTGACTTCATCTCCTGCGGTTGCACCTGGAAAATACCCTCACCCCGTGCGGGTGCATTGTAACAACACCCTCACCCCGTGCGGGTGCATTGTAACAACACCCTCACCCCGTGCGGGTGCATTGTAACAACACCCTCACCCCGTGCGGGTGCATTGTAACAATACCCTCACCTCGTGCGGGTGCATTGTAACAATACCCTCACCTCGTGCGGGTGCATTGTAACAATGCCCTCACCTCGTGCGGGTCCACCAAGGCAATGACGGCCGCCACCACTTCGTCCGCCATGCCAGCTGGCAAGCCACCCACCACCCGCGACAGGCCGCGCGCTGCCGCCCACCGCACATCCGTTGACTGGCAGTTGGGAGGACGGGGACGGGGGGGAAGGGTGAGTGGGGAGGTGAGGGCGGAGGCTCAAGTTATCGTAGGAGCACAATTGTATTGATGCGTGCTGCTGCCACACTCACCTGCTGCTATCACTCTCGTACACGCACCTCGTGTTTGAGCATGGGCAGCAGCTCCCCCACCGCCTCCTCCACCAGCTCCGCCACCTCCTCTTCCTCTTCCTCCTCCCCCTCTTCCTCCCCCTCCCCCTCCCCCTCTCTCCGCCCCAGCTCTCTCTCCTCCGCCCCTCCCACTCCTTCCGCACTTGCCGCCACCCCCTGTTCCGCGCCCGGCCCAGCACCTCCTGCTGCTGGCGATGGCAAGGGCGCGGGGGGGGCTGCAGAGGGGGGGGCGTCCACCCGATGGATGCTGCGCTGCGAGGGGCAGAGGGGGGGGTGAGAGGGTGGGGTGGGAAGAAAACGAACACATGAGCTCTGCTTTGGAAAAGAACGAAGGTATGATTGTGCAAGCAAGGGCATGCGGGGTGCTGCTGTTGTACGAGACAGCCAAGTGGTCGTGCTGCCGTAGAAAACAAGCAAAGGCAAGGGCATGTGGAGTTGAGGGCTTGAGCTGCCGTACCTGGTAGCGCCAGGAGGGCGCACTGCCGTACCTGGTAGCGCCAGGAGGGCTGGCGGGGCGGCAGAAGGGAGAGGGCGAGGCGATGGAGCAGCTTCACGAGGGCCAGGGGGAGCAGCAGTGAGACAGGACGCGCGCACATGGGGTGGGGAGAGGAGCCCGCGGAGTGGGGAAGGTTGGAAGGCGAGGTGGAGTGGAGGAGGGGCAGGAGGATGGTGGCCCACACTGGGTGTGTGTGGTGAGTGAGCTCAGCACGTGGGGCTGTCTGCACGCTCACAGGGGGGGCAAGGGGGAAGGGAAGGGGAGAAGGGGAAGGGCAACAGGGCAAGAGACGATGGTGAGTGTAGGTGGACGGGAAGGTGGGTAGCAGGATGGGGGAATGGGGGCTGAGGAAAGCCGTGGGGACAAGTCCATGTGGCGACAGGCAGCAAATGGCAGGCAGCATCAGACAGCGGGCAACAGACAGTAACACAGCAGCGGAGGCACCTTGAAGATGGCGGCGAGGGTGAGGACGACAGGGGCCAGCAGCTCCTCCGACAGTGGTGCCCGCCCCTTCCCCTCCTCCACTGCCACCACTGCTGCTCCCTCTCCCCTGCCTGGCGGGCCGTCCGGAAGAGCGGCTGGCGAGGGCAGGGCGGCAGAGAGCGAGGCCACAAGGCGGCGACTCTCTTCCATGAACCTGGGAGTGAGAGAGCATGCACGTGGGGGAATGTGGCAAGGAAGGTGCAAGGGCGCACATGTGCGGGATAGCACGGGGATGGATCTGGTTGTAGAGGGAGGGGGTGGATGGCGTATGGGGGAGATGGGCGAAAGGCGTGTGGAAGAATGACGAAAGGTGGAGACCGCATGGTATACCAGGAACGTGCATGGCGTAGCAGGCGGGTGCTTGGCCTACCAGGCGAGGGGGGAGTGCATTTCGGGGCGGGAGAGGAGGCGGGCGAGCATGAGGGGGACGGGCAGGCGGCCGTTGGGCAGGAAGGTGAGGCACGCTCGCAGCAGCACGTCGGGCAGTGACCATGCTTCTGACAACCTCCCTTCCCATGCAGCGGTGGGGAGTGGTAGGAGGCGGTGGAGCACATGGGACGCCACGGGTGCTGACACTGCTGCTGCTGGTGGCGGTTGGGAGGAGTGTTCGAGGGAGGAGGGTTGCAGGGAGGCGGGGGGTTGGGGGGCGAAGAGGTTGGAGTCGAGGGAGGGGAGGGAGAAGGGCAGCAGCAGCAGGTGCGAGAGCCACGAGAGCAGCGCATAGTGCACGCGCCACTACTCCGCCGCCTCCACCGCCACCCCCACCTCCGACCCCGCCTTCTCCCCCGCGCGCCATTTGCATAGGGAGAAAGGGGAAGAGGGGTTGGAAAGAAGGGGCAGACACAGGGGCGGACGGATGAGCAAATGCAGTGATGTACGGAAGGCGTGAGGAACTGTGAGTGAAGCGTGTGGCGTGTGAATGGTACTCCAACAACTCGCTTATCTCGATTCATCCCTCCTGCCCCACCACCGCATCCCACCATCACCGCATCCCACCACCACCGCATCCCACCATCACCGCATCCCACCACCGCATCCCACCACCACCGCATCCCACCACCGCATCCCACCATCACCGCATCCCACCACCACCGCATCCCACCACTGCATCCCACCATTGCATCCGCGCTCCCCCACCACTGCATCCCTGCAGCGCTACCTTGGGCGGCGCGGGCGAGAGGCGGAGCACGAGCAGCAGCAGCGCGAGCGCGGGTTCGAGGTGGGAGGGCGCGTTGGGGAAGAAGCGACAGACGACCTTGGCGCCGCGCACGTACGCCACCACCTGCACCACGCACGCCGCCCCCGCCACTTCCCGCACCATCCGCTGCGCCTCCGCCTCCCCCATCGCCCGCTCGAGTTCCCCCGACCCCGCGGAGCCTCCCGCAAGCGCGGAGGGCAGCGCGGCCGCGGCAGCGAGCGCGTGCGCGGAGAGGCAGGCCATGGCGGGGGAGAGCAGCGCGGAGAGGTGCGGGTCCAGCAGCTCCGGCTGCTCGCGGTACTTGGCGCACTGCCACGTGGACGGGGGGGTGACGGGGCGGGAAAATTGTGTGACCAGGGGAGGGATGCATAAGCGGGTGGCGCGCATGAAGCTGCGGCCAGCGCAAGGCTGTATTCTCATCCCGATACATGAATCTAGGCGTATGAGGTACGAGCGACGGGTTACGAGCGACGGGCTACGAGCGACGGGCTACGAGCGGCGAGCGCGAGGCGTACGATGGTTTCGAAGCGGAGCAGCACTGCTGCCCGCGGGTCGTCGCGCATCTCCCCGTCTTCCACCGCGCGCCTTCGTTGCGCATCCTCATCCGCCTCTGCGATTCCGAAATTCGACACACCGCATTGCACCGATCCAGACCGATCGGACTGCGCGGAGGGCACGAGTATGGCGACGAGGCGCTGCAGCTCGCTCGCCTCCTCGAGGAACGACAACTCGCAGCTGTCGCCCTCGAATTCGCCCTCGTCGCCAGGCGTCGCATTGCCGTCGTGCGCCATGGCGACTGGCCTCGCGCTGATCTGGACTCTTCTATTTTGAGGCCAACTCCACTGACTTGTGGCAGATCTGCTCTGGTGCCTTCACTTGGCAGATCGTTGCAAATGCGTTTCAAAGTTTGGCGAGGGCGAGAGCATTCGCTGGACATTTTGGCGAGTTACATTATTTCGCCAGAGGTCGTCAAGGAGAGCATTGGTTCATATGAGTTGGCGATAATATGTAGCGAAGCTGTTTTCTTTGAATCCACGTTCAGCAACCCCCAGTTCCCTCAGCTCCAATATTTGAGGCGCGGCGCTGAGCGAAGTGCAGTTCGTTGTGCGAGTGCAAGCATCCACCTCGCAATATCTGCGTTATTATCGACCTTGAGAAACTTACCATCTGCCGTGTCACGCGCGTCGCGCGGCAGCACCACTTGCGGACATGACGGCAACGTGCGCAGTCGGCCGCATTGCGGGATCGTGCCTCGCGATCCACGCCGAGGCGCCCAAAGCCAGCACCAACCAGCCGTTACGAACCTCCCACGTGGCGGCGCGAAACGCGACTTGTCTGACTGGCCTGAGACGGATCGCTTCTCCGAGTAACGGAGCTCTGCGCGCGACGACCGTCCGATCGAGAGCGCGGATAGCGATGGTGAGATGAGGATCTGAGCAGCCTCGGGAGATCACAGCAAATGATTTGATCCGATCGGGAAGTTCTAGTTGCTGAAAGGAAACAAGCGTTTGAGAAGAAAAAGGCGCGTCAACGCGTCGAGCAGTTGCCCTCAAGCAATGCGCTTTCGTTTCATTGCATGACATGTCGTGGAATGACGTGGCGTGTCGCCATGGCCCCGCATGGCATGGCACGGCACGGCTCGGCGTGGTGTGGTATGAACCATGGCAGGCGGCAGCGGGATCGGCGTCAGGCAGTGGCGAGCTGCGGTTCAGCAAGTACCAGGGCATCGGCAACGACTTCATCCTCGTGAGCCGCCTCGCTCCCTCCCTGCCCGCCTGCGTGCCTCCTCACACCCCTCTCGTCGCTGCTCCTGCTATTGCCGCTTCTTCTGCCACGTTCCACTCCTGATTCTGCTGCGGCTGTTGCCATTCGTCCTATGCGCCGTCGCTCACACCGACACAACCCCCTCTGCATGGCTGCCCGGTCCGCCAGGTGGACAACCGGCATTCATCGGAGCCGGTGGTGTCGCAGGAGCAGGCGGCGCGGCTGTGCGACCGCAACTTCGGGGTGGGCGGCGACGGGGTGATCTTCCTGCTGCCGGGGCAGGCGGGCGCCGACTACACCATGCGCATCTTCAACAGCGATGGCAGTGAGCCCGAGGTGTGCAGTGCGGTGCAGCGCGGTGCAATGCAGTGCAGGAAAATCCGAGCCCAATGTGTGCAGTGCAGGGTGGTGTGAGCGCGAGGCGATGACAGGGGGCAAAGTGTGCAAGGGATAGTACATTGATGGTCAAGGCGCGCGGATTCAGCGTGCTGCTTTCTAGCTGCACGCACATTGCTTTCCGGAGAGTGAAACAAGGACTCTGCACGTGCTGTCAGCAGCATCTGCTTGATGCCTGCGTGCCCCCCTGCATCCTCCCCTGCGTGCCCCTCTGCACGCCACGTGGCATGGCAGATGTGTGGCAACGGCATTCGCTGTCTGGCCAAGTTCATTGCTGACGTCACCAACTCACACGACACCCAAACGTATGCCCCTCTCCCTTCCCCTCGCTCTCTCTCACTCGCTCCATACACCTTTCCCGCCTTCGCCTCTTCTCGCCCTCTCAGTTCTCTTTCTCATTCCCTCCACTCCCCACCCTCCCACCCCCCCACCCCGCACACCCCAATCCCTGCACCTCACCCCACAGCATATCGATATCCACACTGGCGGGCGTCATGCAGGCGCACATGCGCGCCGATGGCCAGGTGGGGTGGGGCTGCTTCAACCAAGGGGCTTTGCTGCACCGCTGCTGGCTGCTCTTCTCTCATTCGCCGCACGCCTGTTCGCACTCCTCCAACCTCACTCACGCCTCACTCCCTCCTCCCACCCCCATCCCTTCTCACACATGTCTCCCTCCTCTTCTCTGCCACTCATCCCCCCATCCCCTCCTCCCCCTCTTCCCTTTTTCCCCTCCTCCCACGCGCCCCAGGTGCGGGTGGACATGGGCGAGCCCATCCTGTCCGCGGCGCTCATCCCCACCACGCTGCCCGCCACCACCGCTGACGGCGCCGTGGTGAAAGCGCCGCTGCAGGTGGACGGGGTGACGTGGCAGGTGACCTGTGTCAGCATGGGCAACCCGCACTGCATCACCTTCTCCAACTCACACAGCCCTCAGGTGTGCCCCGCGCTCCCTGCCACTAGCATGTCCTGTTCCGGATTTCTTATTCTCGTGGTGTGCTGACTGACGGTCAGGTCACACAGCCCCCATCCCACCACCTACTGCCACCGGCACTGCCCCTGCGTGTGTGGCATGTGTGCATTCATCGCACCACCCCCAGGGCCTGGACGTGGCAGGCATTGACCTGCACCGCATTGGACCCATGTTTGAGCACCACCCCGCCTTCCCTGCTCGCACCAACACAGGTCAGCTCATTCTCGCTCTTCCTCTTCTTCTCCCTCTTCTTCCTGCTCCCTGCACCTCTCTCGCGCCCGTGTGTGCCCCTGTATGCCCCTGCATCTCTCGCACCTCAATCGTTTCCTTCCTCGTCATGCACTGCCATATGGCATCATATCATTGTGTTTCAATCCCCCATCCCCACTTCCCCACCCATCCCCCATCCTCTGTTCCCCCCCATCCATCCCCCATCCCCTGCTCCCATCCTCTCTTCCACCAACCCCATGGCCCATGCACGCGCATCAGAGTTTGTGGAGGTGATCTCCCGCAACGAGCTGCACATGCGAGTGTGGGAGCGCGGGGCAGGTGAACCTCTTACCCTCACCCATACTTTTCCTGCCCTCACATCCCTGCACTCCACTGCTGCTGCCGCTGCAACTGCAACTGCCTTGCCGTTACCACCATACTGCTTGCGCTGTCATCCCAGCCTGTGCCACCCTCCCCCGTCATTGTCCTGTGTGTAATTCTCTCCCACCCACCCGCCCTGCCCCCCACAGGTCCCACGCTGGCATGTGGCACGGGCACGTGTGCCCTTGTTGTGGCGGCTGTGCTGGAGGGCCGTGCCGAGCGGGTGAGTCACGGATGAGGGAGGGAGTGTGTGAGGTTGGGTGAGTGACTGAGGGAGCTCGGAGAGCGATTGGAGCAGCTTGGGTGGGAAGAGCGAGGCTATGAGGGGTGGAGGGGCACACAGCAAGCTGGTTTCGATTTGTAACACTTCTCTCATGTTTCTCCCTCCACCATGCCTTGCCTCTCATGCCATCTGTCACCTGCGTGCATCCATCCACCCTGTGTCTCTCTCCCTCAACCCCCTTCTCTCGCAGAACTGCCTGGTGCATCTGCCGGGGGGTCCGTTGGAGATAGATTGGAGGGAGGAGGACAACCGCGTGCACATGACCGGCCCCGCTGACCTCGTCTTCTCCGGCACTCTTGCGCTCCGCTGATGCTCCCTGTGCTCATGCTCGCTGCTTTATGCTGGTCAATGCTGCTTGGTAGAGGCTGCTGCAGACTGCAATGCTTTAATTGGCTGGACTAGATTCACTGCAGTGGTGCAACGGTCGTATGAGTTTAGTGCCTGCTGCTCTCTGCTTCGGTATAATGAAATAAATACTTATGGAACTTATGAACAGGGATGAGTGTACACGTCAGTCACAGAGTCAAGTTATTGATATGCCAAGAGCTCGCTCCAGGTAGTCTTGCTGCTGTACTTCACCTTCCAGATGGTTCCACTGCAGCGCACAGCACCGCAGAGAGGCAGGGCAGGGAGCCACTGGAATGTAAAGCTGAGATGTGTAGTGTGGAGAAGTATGGTAGCGGATGAAAAGAGGTGCAGTGGCTGGTTGGTACGAGGAAATGCGGATACAGACCATGAGTTAGTGGGATGGAGGTGCGTACATGGTAGAAGGGGATGGAGATGACGGTCCATCCAGCCGCCTCCAGATGTCGCCTCTTGAGCGCCGTTGCTCCCAGTGGAGTCACTGCCACAGCAGGTGGATGTGGGATTCGTGCGGAGGGCGGAGTAAGGATGACAGGGAAAGGACGGCAGGCAGCGAGCGAAGCGCAACAATGGAAGGTTGAGGGCACGGCAGTGAAAGCGGCATGCGGGGGGATGAAGCAAGGGGAGGAGATGCGGAAGGCAGCGCGCACGAGTGTTACGGGTGAAGTGTGAGGGTCCGTCCACCTCCAGTGCGATGCGGCGCCCTGGCAGAGCAATGTCAATGGAGTAGTGCCACACGCATGACGATGTGTACTCCGATACCCACCCCATGCCATCCGAGCATCCCTCCCCTCCCTCGCTTCCATCTTCTCCCTCCTTTCCCTCGTCACCCTGCTCTCTCTCCCCTCCTCCCCCTTCCCACTCGTCCCCCCGCCAGGCCACGAGCCCCAGGGCGGAGAGGGCCTGCTCCACCTCCCAGTGGCTGCACGGTTTCACCTTCTCCCTCGCCGCCTCTGCCCGCCACACACGCGCCCCCTCCTCCCACACCCAATCTGCCCCCTCCTCGTCTCTTCCCTCTCCCCTTCCCGCCCCCCCGTCACCCACCTCTTGCCCTCTTCTCACCCCTCCACTCCCCCCACCACACGCCTGCTCGCCCTCCTCCCCCTGCCCCTTTCTTCCCCTTTCCACTGCACCCCCTGCCCCCTCCGCCCTGAGAGTCACCGCCACCTGAAACAGCTGACTCAGATGCCGCTCCCCCACTCTAGCCCTCTGCTCCCCTTCCGACCCCTCCCCCTCCACCTCCCCCTCCTGCTCCTCTCCACAGAACTGCCTTTGGCGGCGGAGCACCTCTCCCCAGAGCGCGTGGAAGAGCGCCCCGTGGGTGTGCTGCAGCACAGCCAGCGCCCACACACTGTTCGCCACGTGCTGGGGCGACCACGCTCGCAGGCACGCCAGCGGGCAGGGCGGGGGGGGAGAGAAGGCGGTCATGTGCAGCTGGTTGGGGGGTGGCTGGGAGGTGTGGGGGAGGGAGGAGGGGGAGAAAGTGGCAGCTGCACGGTTGAGGGCGCGGGAGAGGGCAGGGGGCAGCGCGTGGTGCAGGCAGGCGAAGGCCCACAGCAGCTGCGAGAGCTCGTGGGGGGACAGCACAGCGCGGCCGCTGGGGTGGGCGGGGGTGGTTGGGAAGGAGGGGGAGAGCGGGGGGAGCGCGAAGCAGGCTTGGCGGGCGAGGGTGGGGAGGAGAGCGGGTGGGGGGAGGTGGCGAGCGAGGGCAAAGGCAGCTGCGATGTTTGCAATGTGCTGTGGGGCCAGGGTGTGCTGTATGGGCAGCACTGCTGCTGCCACCGCATCCAACTCCTCCGAATACACCCATGTGCGCTGTCCGCCACCCCTCCGCCCACCCGCTCCCACCTCCGCACCCCGCCCCGCAACCATGTCTCCCGCCCCTCCTCCCGCTCCCCCAATGCGCGCGAGCGCCCACACGAGGTTGGAGAGGGTCTGTGCATTGCAGCGGGCGGCACGCACAGCAGGGAGGGCGGCAGCAACAAGCAGGCGCAGGGGAGGCGTGCGGGCTAGGGCCAGACGGGAGGGCGGGGGCATGCCCTCCGCTTGCATGTGACGTGCAATGCGGTGCAGAGCGGTGACTGCGTTGATTGGCGAGAAGAGGGAGCACGCTGCTGCCTCCTCCCACCTTCTCTCCATCTCCCTCCTCTCCTTCTCCATCTCCTCCTCCTCTGCCTCCTCCTCTTCCCTGCTCCTCCTCCCGCCCTTCCCATTACCACGCACCTTGCCGCTACCCCAAGAGCTGTTAGGCCCCACCCCATCACCCACCCCTGCGCCCCTGGCTGTTGCACCTGCGCCCCCCACGTGCCACTCAGGCCGCGGGGGCAGGCGAGCCATCTCATTCGCCACCACCCGCATGACGTCAGCGAGGCACGTGGCCTCCACGAGCCGTCGGTTCAGCGCTGCTGCTCCCCCTGGTGCCGATGTCAGCAGCGACGGTGACTGTGATGGCGACGGCAATACTGCCGGCCGTTGCGACTGCGGCGGCTCACCGGTGCCTCTGTCCGCTTCGCCCACGCTGCTGCTGCCTTCGCCACTCGTGCGGCTCCCCACTCCCGCTGCGCCCTTCCCCCGCCCCTCGCCTTGCACCTGCGCTGCTCTTCGCCGGGAGAGCAGGCGGTGCGCGAGAGATGGCGATGGGGTCGAGGAGCCGGAGGCGGTGGGTTCTGAGGGCGGCTGGACTGGCTGCTGGCTGTACAATGGCGTCTGCACCGCATTGTCACCCCTCTGCACCACACTGTCGGTCGCCATCTGCCCAGTCCTCTCGTCGCCATCTCTCTGACTTCTCCCGCCCTTGCGGCGCATTCGTCTGTTCCGGATCCCGTCGTTGTAATCAACCACTCTCTCCGATTGCCTCTCCGCCCTCGCTGCTTCTCCGCTGCGCAACCCCACGCGGCCCTGCGCTGCTCCATTTCCCCGCTGAATCGCGCCGATGGCAGCACCAGGCGGAGAGCGGCGAGGGGATGCGGAGAGGGCGGGCAGCGACGGGGAGTGGCGCAAGATGGGGGAGGCGCGGGGTCGATGGCAGCACGGGCGGAATCGGGGCGGACGCGCGGGGGAGAGCGCGGGCGCCGGGCGGGGGACGGCATGCGGGCGGCCCAGCGCCCCCATGGCTAGGCGAGGGGGAAGGCGGCGGCGGATCAGAGCGGTGATCGCTAGCGGCTAGGCGGCAAATGACCTCTGTTGGAAGCACGGTCGGACCGTGGTGCTGTTTTTTATGCGGAGAGGCAAGACTTGGTCGGACCAAGGTGGGTCCGAACATCCAGGACGGGAAGGAGCATCGCAATTTCCCTGGTCTGACTGGGTTCTGTTTGGACCATTCAATGTAGTTCAGGTTCAACTGAGGGGAAGGTGATGCTCGGTTTGATTCGGTAAGTGTGGTACAGTTGAAACATAGTGTTGGCCTGTTACTGGACCGCTCGCTATTTTCGTTTAACCATCTCGCCAGTAGCAAGGCCATCGTGCCATTTCCTCCACGACCCTGCCACCAGCGAGGTCCATTTGTCACGGAAGTCGGTTTGTATGCCATATTGTCCGCTACGAGGCCCAAGTCGTGCACCGAACCTCCTCAACCCACACGCCTCCATCTTCACACTTCCCACTCGCACAATCGCAACCGCCAATCTTCTGTTAGCCGTCAGCCGTCAGACGTTAGTTCCAGTCGTCACTCGTCACTCGACAGTCGAGTCCTCAACGGGAGGTGCAACAGTTGCGAACACGCGAGGCGGGCCGCCGACGGACTCACAGCGCGGCGCAGGCAGCCGTTGTTGCCGGGCGTCCCGAGCCGCAGTACGCGAGGGAGGCGCGTCGTACTCTAGGAAGTGACGGTCGCAGCGCGCTGAGCCTGGCGGAGAGGAGCGGGGGAAGGCGTAGAGGCGCGAGAAGGAGACGCGCGGAGGACTGGTTAGGGCGGACGTAAGGGCGGAGGCAAAAGGGCGAAAGGGCGAGGAGCAGAGGCGCAGAGAGGGGTAGGAGGCGCGGGGATGTTCAGATCGCGGAAGAACGACGATGTGGTGAGGCGCGTGGGGGCGTGCAACAGGTTACGAGGGTATGAGCGACGGGTGGGGAAGATGAGTTGATCTGAGATGAGAACACGCGCTTCCCACTCGGATTGCACGTGCCCCGTCAGGCGCTGATCCACGTGGCAGCCGCATTGACTAGATGCGCAACGGTCTCTTCCTTCCAGTGTGCCTCCGCTTCCTCTCACCCCCCGCTTCTCCCATCCGTAATGTATCCCCCCATTCCCGCGCTTTCTCCTTCCCTCTCTCTGCCCCCCTTCTCTACATACCCCATGCCCATGTCCCCATGCCCCATGTCTCCATGCCCCATGCCCACGTGCCGTGATCAATGTGTGTGCGGGGTGGCAGCAGAGCCGGCTGACGCGGCAGCAGAAGGAGCGCGTGAAGCAGTTCGTGAGCAGCACTGGGGCAAGGTGGGGCGCACGGGGGCAAGGTGGGGCGCACGGGGGCAAGGTGGGGCGCACGGGGGCAAAGTGGGGCGCACGGGGGCAAGGTGGGGCGCACGGGGGCAAAGTGGGGCGCACGGGGGCAAAGTGGGGCGCACGGGGGCAAGGTGGGGTGCACTGGGGCGCACGGGGGCAAGGTGGGGTGCACTGGGGCGCACGGGGGCAAGGTGGGGCGTGTGCGTGGGGAATGCAGGGCGGACGGTGTAGAAGGGAATGGCCGTTCCATGTGCCGCCTAGCAGGCGAGCAGGTAGGCAGAGAGCACATGTATGTAGCCATGTTAGAGCCAGCAAGGCCTTGCATTTTTACCACCCACGCATGCCACCCATGCCATGCCACACATGCCATCCATGCCACCCATGCCATGCCACACATGCCATCCATGCCATCCATGCCACCCATGCCATGCCACACATGCCATCCATGCCATCCATGCCACACATGCCACCCATGCCACCCATGCCACCCATGCCACTCATGCCACACATGCCACCCATGCCACCCATGCCACGCATGCCACACATGCCACCCATGCCACCCATGCCACTCATGCCACACATGCCACCCATGCCACCCATGCCACGCATGCCACACATGCCACCCATGCCACCCATGCCACCCATGCCACTCATGCCACACATGCCACCCATGCCACCCATGCCACGCATGCCACACATGCCACCCATGCCACACATGCCACACATGCCACGCATGCCACGCATGCCACGCATGCCACGCATGCCACGCATGCCACGCATGCCACCCATGCCACGCATGCCACCCATGCCACGCATGCCACACATGCCACCCATGCCACGCATGCCACGCATGCCACGCATGCCACGCATGCCACACATGCCACCCATGCCACGCATGCCACGCATGCCACGCATGCCACGCATGCCACGCATGCCACGCATGCCACGCATGCCACGCATGCCACGCATGCCACGCATGCCACGCATGCCACGCATGCCACCCATGCCACGCATGCCACGCATGCCACCCATGCCACCCATGCCACACATGCCACCCATGCCACGCATGCCACGCATGCCACCCATGCCACGCATGCCACGCATGCCACGCATGCCACGCATGCCACGCATGCCACGCATGCCACGCATGCCACGCATGCCACGCATGCCACGCATGCCACCCATGCCACGCATGCCACGCATGCCACGCATGCCACGCATGCCACGCATGCCACGCATGCCACCATGCCACCCATGCCACCATGCCACCCATGCCACCATGCCACGCATGCCACGCATGCCACGCATGCCACGCATGCCACGCATGCCACGCATGCCACGCATGCCACGCATGCCACGCATGCCACGCATGCCACGCATGCCACGCATGCCACGCATGCCACGCATGCCACGCATGCCACGCATGCCACGCATGCCACGCATGCCACGCATGCCACGCATGCCACGCATGCCACGCATGCCACGCATGCCACGCATGCCACGCATGCACGCATGCCACGCATGCCACGCATGCCACGCATGCCACGCATGCCACGCATGCCACGCATGCCACGCTGCCCGCATGCCACGCATGCCACGCATGCCACGCATGCCACGCATGCCACGCATGCCACGCATGCCACGCATGCCACGCATGCCACGCATGCCACGCATGCCACGCATGCCACGCATGCCACGCATGCCACGCATGCCACGCATGCCACGCATGCCACGCATGCCACGCATGCCACGCATGCCACGCATGCCACGCATGCACGCATGCCACGCATGCCACGCATGCCACGCATGCCACGCATGCCACGCATGCCCACGCATGCCACGCATGCCACGCATGCCACGCATGCCACGCATGCCACGCATGCACGCATGCCACGCATGCCACGCATGCCACGCATGCCACGCATGCCACGCATGCACGCATGCCACGCATGCCACGCATGCCACGCATGCCACGCATGCCACGCATGCCACGCATGCCACGCATGCCACGCATGCCACGCATGCCACGCATGCCACGCATGCCACGCATGCCACGCATGCCACGCATGCCACGCATGCCACGCATGCCACGCATGCCACGCATGCCACGCATGCCACGCATGCCACGCATGCCACGCATGCCACGCATGCCACCGCATGCCACGCATGCCACGCATGCCACGCATGCCACGCATGCCACGCATGCCACGCATGCCACGCATGCCACGCATGCCACGCATGCCACGCATGCCACGCATGCCACGCATGCCACGCATGCCACGCATGCCACGCATTGCCACGCATGCCACGCATGCCACGCATGCCACGCATGCCACGCATGCCACGCATGGCCACGCATGCCACGCATGCCACGCATGCCACGCATGCCACGCATGCCACGCATGCCACGCATGCCACGCATGCCCCGCATGCCACGCATGCCACGCATGCCACGGCCATGCCACGCATGCCACGCATGCCACGCATGCCACGCATGCCACGCATGCCACGCATGCCACGCATGCCACGCATGCCACGCATGCCACGCATGCCACGCATGCCACGCATGCCACGCATGCCGACCTGCCACGCATGCCACGCATGCCCCGCATGCCACGCATGCCACGCATGCCACGCATGCCACGCATGCCACGCATGCCACGCATGCCACGCATGCCACGCCCATGCCACCATGCCACCATGCCACGCATGCCACGCATGCCACGCATGCCACGCATGCCACGCATGCCACGCATGCCACGCATGCCACGCATGCCACGCATGCCACGCATGCCACGCATGCCACGCATGCCACGCATGCCACGCATGCCACGCATGCCACGCATGCCACGCATGCCACGCATGCCACCCATGCCACGCATGCCACCCATGCCACGCATGCCACGCATGCCACGCATGCCACGCATGCCACGCATGCCACGCATGCCACCATGCCACGCATGCCACGCATGCCAGCCATGCCACGCATGCCACGCATGCCACGCATGCCACGCATGCCACGCATGCCACGCATGCCACGCATGCCACGCATGCCACCATGCCACGCATGCCACGCATGCCACGCATGCCACGCATGCCACGCATGCCACCATGCCACGCATGCCACGCATGCCACGCATGCCACGCATGCCACCCATGCCACGCATGCCACCATGCCACGCATGCCACGCATGCCACGCATTGCCACGCATGCCACGCATGCCACGCATGCCACGCATGCCCACGCATGCATGCCACGCATGCCACGCATGCCACGCATGCCCACGCATGCCACGCATGCCACGCATGCCACGCATGCCACGCATGCCACGCATGCCACGCATTGCCACGCATGCCACGCATGCCACGCATGCCACGCATGCCAAGCATGCCACGCATGCCACGCATGCCACAGCATTGCCACGGCATGCCACGCATGCCACGCATGCCACGCATGCCACGCATGCCACGCATGCCACGCATGCCACGCATGCCACGCATGCCACGCATGCCACGCATGCCACGCATGCCACGCATGCCACGCATGCCACGCATGCCACCCATGCCACGCATGCCAGCATGCACGCATGCCACGCATGCCACGCATGCCACGCATGCCACGCATGCCACGCATGCCACGCATGCCACGCATGCCACGCATGCCACGCATGCCACGCATGCCACGCATGCCACGCATGCCACGCATGCCACGCATGCCACGCATGCCACGCATGCCACGCATGCCACGCATGCCACGCATGCCACCCATGCCACGCATGCCACGCATGCCACGCATGCCACGCATGCCACGCATGCCACGCATGCCACCCATGCCACGCATGCCACGCATGCCACGCATGCCACGCATGCCACGCATGCCACGCATGCCACGCATGCCACGCATGCCACGCATGCCACGCATGCCACGCATGCCACGCATGCCACCCATGCCACGCATGCCACGCATGCCACGCATGCCACGCATGCCACGCATGCCACGCATGCCACGCATGCCACCCATGCCACGCATGCCACGCATGCCACGCATGCCACGCATGCCACGCATGCCACGCATGCCACGCATGCCACGCATGCCACGCATGCCACGCATGCCACGCATGCCACGCATGCCACGCATGCCACGCATGCCACGCATGCCACGCATGCCACGCATGCCACGCATGCCACGCATGCCACGCATGCCACGCATGCCACGCATGCCACGCATGCCACGCATGCCACGCATGCCACGCATGCCACGCATGCCACGCATGCCACGCATGCCACGCATGCCACGCATGCCACGCATGCCACGCATGCCACGCATGCCACGCATGCCACGCATGCCACGCATGCCACGCATGCCACGCATGCCACGCATGCCACGCATGCCACGCATGCCACGCATGCCACGCATGCCACGCATGCCACGCATGCCACGCATGCCACGCATGCCACCCATGCCACGCATGCCACGCATGCCACCCATGCCACGCATGGCACCCATGCCACGCATGCCACGCATGCCACGCATGCCACGCATGCCACGCATGCCACGCATGCCACGCATGCCACCCATGCCACGCATGCCACGCATGCCACCCATGCCACGCATGCCACGCATGCCACGCATGCCACGCATGCCACGCATGCCACGCATGCCACCCATGCCACGCATGCCACGCATGCCACGCATGCCACGCATGCCACGCATGCCACCCATGCCACGCATGCCACGCATGCCCCGCATGCCACGCATGCCACGCATGCCACGCATGCCACGCATGCCACGCATGCCACGCATGCCACGCATGCCACGCATGCCACGCATGCCACGCATGCCACGCATGCCACCGCATGCCACGCATGCCACCGCATGCCACGCATGCCACGCATGCCACGCATGCCACGCATTGCCACGCATGCCACGCATGCCACGCATGCCACGCATGCCACGCATGCCACGCATGCCACGCATGCCACGCATGCCACGCATGCCACGCATGCCACGCATGCCACGCATGCCACGCATGCCACGCATGCCACGCATGCACGCATGCACCATGCCACGCATGCCACGCATGCCACGCATGCCACGCATGCCACGCATGCCACGCATGCCACGCATGCCACGCATGCCACGCATGCCACGCATGCACGCCATGCCACGCATGCCACGCATGCCACGCATGCCACGCATGCCACGCATGCCACGCATGCCACGCATGCCA